CCCCATAAGTAATTGCTGTCAGTATTTTGTGTGTGTCTGCTTCTAGACTTTACATTAAACTTCTTGTGACATTGACACAACCAACTACACACACACACACACACACACACCCTTCCTTCCATTCTTAACAAAGAGTGGCATCATTCTATACACATTGGCTAAGAACTTGCTTTATTTCCTTAGTAAATAATGGTTGTCCTTCTGACCTGGCCAGCGTGGCTCAGTTTTTTTGAGCATCATCCCATAAACCAAAATGTCATGTATTCGATTTCTACTTAGGACACATGCCCAGGTTGGGAGTTCGGTCCCCGATCAGGGCATAAACTAGAGGGAACCAATTGATGTTTCCTTCTGGCATCGATGTTTCTCACCCTCTCTCTTTCTCCCTCCCTTCTCTTCTCTCTTAGAGAGTTAATCAATTAACTTGTCCTTGGGTGAGGATAAAAAAATAATATGATAGCCCCTCTGGTTTTATACATAAAATTCGGCTTTCTTATTTTTATTAATGAAACAGTATTCTCTTAGGAGGATGTGTCAGAAACAATTATCTAACTATTTCTCGATTGAATTTTAGTTGTTCTCAGTCTCATTCACATAGTTAATTCCAAATGCCTTCTGTTATTATGTAGCACTTATTTTTTAATAAACACAGTGGCAGTGAACACCTTTGTATGTGCACGTGCATGTACATGTGTGTCTGTGTCATTATGTCTGTAACAGGGATCCCAAGAAGTTGGAGGTATGCAGAGACTTAATTTTTATTTATATTGTCAAGTTTTCTCTACTATAATACCAATTTACACCAGAACCAGCATATGCAAATTAACATTTCCTTAACCCTTCATCAATCTTTCAACCTTTTTGAGCTAATATGAGAGAAAAAATAAACTCACCATCTTGCTTTATATTGTATGTATTAAATTATCTGAAGAAGAGAGTAAATAAAGGTTTGAGAACTTTTTCTAAGAGCACAAAGTAGACTGTATGGCAGAAGTAGAGACTGTAGGCAGGAAAATGCATACGGAAATTTTATGTAGTAAAAGTCAGATGTCGTAGAGACTTGAACTGGGGCCAAAGGAGTTGCCTCTGTTTCATAGTCAAATGCATATCAACTCACATGTTGACTTCACATCACTATTAATAATGTATGGACAAGGTTTGAAAAATATATCTTTAAAAGCTGAAAAGTTTTCTCTTTTGGAGTTGGAAATCATTCAGTACCTCAAATGGCATAATACATTTAAGGCATTATATATTCTGCTACTTAAGTTTAAATGATGAATCCATTAATATGTAGCTTGAAATATAGACCATAGCCTTTGTCTTCCAAAGGATATTTTAATCAAAATATTAAAAATAAGCTGGAGTCTCATTCAAATAGTTAATACCAGCTGCCTTTTGTTGTAATACATCATGCATTATCTCTCTGATGGATGGGCAGCAAAATGCAGATAAAATTAGCTTTGCAGTCATTCATTCTAAATTGCTCTTGAATCATTTGGAAGTAAATTCCATTTCAGAAAAATATGCTTCAGGTCTCAGACAAAGAGATAATAGTCCTATATTTTATGATATAAGCAATAATAGTTTAAGTCTAATGATTCAGAAATATAGAAACTTATGCATTAAGTTGATGAAAATTAAGGCTTGATATATAGCAATAAAACCAGCAACCTAAAGCTTCCTAGATTGATGTTCATAGCATAATATTTTCCTGTCAAGAATTAGGTGGAATGAAAGTCTATAAAAATAACACATGATACAAAGCTTTCTGTTCTTGTATGTAAATAAAAGAAACAAAAGGCTGTATGAGATAACAGAGAAAAGAAATACTGAGATTTACCTGATATCTAGATAAAAATGGCAATATTGTTATTGAGTAGTGGCAGAAAATAGAAAATTAAGTCAAGTATTAGAGCAGAGTAAAATGACAAATAATGTTATATCTAAGTTAAAAAAGCAATTATAGCTGGAAGTTAATACTGAATTCAATGTACAAAACAGAAACAACTCAGGAACTTTATTTTGTTAATTTGAATGGACTTCATGTAGAAAACTTGTTCAGCAATGTAATGAATCAATCATTTTGCCCAAATAGCATAATGCAATCAATGTCAACATCTGGGGTGTGGCTGTGCAAAACAGGACACTTTAAAATAAGTGTGGCATGTTACCAGAAGTGGGTTTAAAGTCTGAAGTTGCTGCTTACAAGTTGAGTTCCTATTATCACCCTGAAGACTTCAGGGGACTTCAGATATTTTTATTAAGAAATAAAGTGGGAAGAGAATGCACTCAATGAGCCCTCTACCGAAAAATTAAGTTGTTCTTTTATAGTCTCCAGGTTTTTTTTTAGCATGATCTTAATAGTATCAGAAAGTCAGTTTATTTGTATAGTTGGTTTATTTATTTGAATTGCACACTAGTCTACCAGCTCAAAAAAGAACTTCCGACGTCATTATCCCATGTATTAAACAGTCCCCTAGTGGCCTGAAAGACTTGCCCTCACCATGGCAGGGACTGCCTTGTGTGGATCATGCCTGAGGACGGGCACAGGTGTGTGTCCAAAAGAAAAACTATGAAACAATAAAACCAACACTTTCACTTGCACACCATTGCAAACATACATGCTTAGAGAATCGATTAGAGTGTCAGTTTCATAGTTTTAAAAGCCATGTCTTCTTCTAGAAAACGTCTATCACCATAAAAAGTTGGGAAATACCAAATGCATTACAAAATGAATATTCACTAATAAAGATGTGATTTCATTTCTCAGGCTCTTCATGAAGCAAAATGCTCAGTTCCCTGACATTTGCAGACGGAGCTAGCTTCCTGGCTGTAGGACCTGTCCGGTCACACAGGACCTGCACTTGGTTTAATTCTCTGCTACCACCATCCCTGAGTTCTTAATCCATTTTTAACAAGTATTCCCGGATTTTCATTCTGCGCTGGGCCACCCATATTCTGTAGCCAGTTCAGTTGGTAGATACTGTTGTTATAACACTTTACGTTTGTAACTGCCTTTCAGGCATTCTAAACTCTAAAAGACCTTGTGACTCTTTTAGGAATGATCAAAGTTGCCATTATAATGTTTGTGCTCCTGTGAGATTTTTATTGACTTCCCATAATGCACCTGGCACTATGCTAGATTTGTAGAAAGTAAAAATGAAAATGACATAGTCCCTGCCTTCAAAGGGCATTTATTCTAGTGTTAAGCATTTGTTGTTATAATTCCTGGCTTTTGAAAATTGGGAATAGTTGCATGAAACTGGTTGCAAAACTGAAAATTAGGACTCTTCCACATATGTGTGAAGCAAATGCATAGTGCAGAGGAACTAAATGTCATGAAGAGCTATTTGTAGATGATCCTTTCTTTCTTGCTAAATAGACATGGTATTTGGAGGGGATCACTTTTTCATTATAAATACAGATAGATATAATCATCCTGGATATTTAAAGACTCAGAAAATTTCCTTTATACTTTTGGTTGAAGAGAATTGGCTTGCTTGTTTGCTTTTTAAAACTCACTCTAGAAAAAAATCCAGGTGACATTTCATAAAAGGACCATTTCTGAAATATCATTACATTTGAAAATTAATGCTGACCCAGCATTTTTGTCTGGAGCAAGTAAAGTGTTCCCTTAACATGCTTAGCTGGTGGTGGTGCAGCTGTTCTTGCTGGACAGATATCCACATAACCAACGGCTGTCTCCCAAAACAGAGCAACAACTGAATGAGTGATTAAATGAGTTTCAGGTTAACATCTGAGCAACCATCGTTAACTACCGATACCATAGCCTATATTTGCTACTGAATATATGTATTAAATGTGTGTATACCCATATATATATACATATATAGATAGATACACTTTTAAAGAACTTATAAACACTTCTACTTTTAAGTTTGACCTTAGAATTTTAATTTTACCTGTTAACCTAGGGTGCTTAATCAACTTAGGAAATTAACATCTCCTGTTTCTCATAGGAAGAGATTTATCAGACTTAACTTATTTATAGTGTATTAGAAGATGATCTTTTAACTTAACTTTTGTACAATATAATAGTATTTTTAAAAGACTTTTATTATTTTCTATTTTTTTTTATTTTGGAATGATGCATAACCAAAGTTAAAAGAAAACCTGCCTTATAGTGTGCAAATATCTCAACTGATTTTTAGATTTTGTTTATCCATCCGTATTGGAACAGCAAGGTGACAACAATATATTTGATAAATTTCAGTGATGTAAAAAATGACACTATTTTTCTCTATGATAATATTCAGTACTGTTATATTGAGAATAGGTTTTACTACTCATATAATACAATACGTATGATACTCGACATGTAATTTCAAAATAAGATCAAACAGCATTATTAGATTCTAGCTCTACTATGGCTCTACTGTTGCCCGGCTTCTGTCTGACTATATTTCCAGTATTTAGCATAATTCTGAACTCGATACATATTTTTGGTTGAATGAATATTTCATGCAGTGGCATCCTTAAAAAATAATGATATATTTGATCCTTAATTTATGTTTCTAATATTCCTTCTCAGCTCCTTGCAAAGATTTACCTGTGAACCTTTTATTTTTCAAACAAATTTTTCTGATACAGTTGCTGTTGCCTTTGTCAGCTCCCAAGGGTAATGCTGTGTGGTGGGACGTGCAGTGCTCTCTATCTGGAAGATCAGTTTTTGTGGAAGATAAACCTGGAGTTAAACCTGGAGTTCCTATGCAGTTCTGCTATTTTCTGCCTGTGTGCTCAGGACTAGATATTTATCCTCCATGATGCTGAATTTTGCCATGCATAAAAATGATAGTAATAATCTAAATACTTAATTGAGCAGCCAGTCAATACACCTAACATACTGTCTTTCTAGCTCATAGCAGTCACTCAAATTGCTTAACTAGGTAATGAGACATTATTTTTAAATGAGTAGCAAGGAAAAGGCAAATGGTTATCATGTTTTCAATGATTTTCACTTTCTTCTTGTTTACCAGATGATGACTTTTTTCATGAACTACCAGAAACTTTTCCATCTGATCCACCTGAGCCTCTGCCACATTTCCTTATCGAGCCTGAAGAAGCTTATATTGTGAAGAATAAGCCTGTTAACCTGTATTGTAAAGCCAGCCCTGCCACCCAGATCTACTTCAAGTGCAACAGTGAATGGGTTCATCAGAAGGACCACATAGTAGACGAGAGAGTAGATGAAACCTCTGGTAAGTTTTCCTTTGCATTTGGACTGCTACTTAGGATTCACTTACTTTAGCATTTTGTCACACTGCCCTTTAAAGAAGTACGATTGAAAATGGAGTTGTTATCCTTTGGCAAAAGATTTTGAATCAGTTTGGTTAATATTTGGTGATCTCCCCCCATACATTGCAAAGTAAAATGAGATACATAAGTCTTGACTTGATTCCTATTGGACTACATGGAACTGAAACATGGTTTATGCTAAGATAAACAGTGAGAATTAATAGACTGAATAAATAGCAAATGCCCTAGTGAAAATGCACTTGGACTTCTCTATCAAGTCTGGTGTCAGGTCTAATTATCCTGAGAATGGGGAACAGCTTCAATTAAGGATAAATTGTACATGTTTGCATGATTCTCCGAAGTTAATTTACATGCATAATTTCTCCTTGTACTTTAAAAAAATTGTAAATGTTATAGATTCAAAGTATCCTGTATCCTTTGCTTACATCTAAAAGAACCTAATTAAAAAGCTTAGCTAAAACTAAATTGAGGGTGATTGAGAATAGTGATAGTGTGGGATCCAGGGAGAGGAGAAAGGGTGAGTGCAGCTACCATCTGTCTGGGTACATCTTGATCAGAGTATCTTTGCTCCGGCCATGGATAAAACTACTGACCTTACTGTTCTGTAAGTATCATCCTTACCAGTAACATTAAAGCATAGAGAGTATGAAGGAGATTTTAATAACCTGCAAAATTTATTTTGGCTATAAAGGAAACTTTCTTGATAGCAATTATTTACTCTGCAGTGGGTAACTTAAGATAGTTGTGAAATCATCTAGAGTTGTTTTAAATTGGAAAATGTATATCTTTCTACAGTGGTTTAAGTGTTTTTGATTTCCAGCAGGGAAAATAACAACTTGAACTCTCAACTCCCTTTCAGATCTATTATTTGGTAATGTAAAGATATACATTTTAAATATTAAGACTTCACTGATCAACATTTCCAAGCTAAACGGTGACATATATAGCAAAAGTGGAAGCATTTAAACACTGTACCTTCATTTTCATTCTTAAATATCTCTACATAGCAAAGTGAATGCATGTTTTCAAAATTAAAATTGTAATTAATTCCTATTAGCATCCAAAGGTGGAATTAATTAAGGGCAAGCAAAGACCAGCACTTGAGGGAGGTCTGCGTTCCATGCCTCCAACGACACAAAGAATACACGGAGGGGATGGGCCCTTCAGAACTAGAACAGGCTGTGGGAGAGCCAACAGGGGGCGTCTCTCTAAAAAGCATGTGAGGCATGTATTTCTACCATAAAAATGGTCAGAGAGAATCAGGTGGCAGCTCTACCTAATTGTCACTCTGTGAATCAGTATGCTTCCTGCATGCAAGCGGATGGCTCTGGAGATGACTGGGTGTTCAACCATACGGTAGCTGACTTTAGGGGATTGTCCCACCTCTTGGTCTAATTACTCAGCAAATAACTTATCCAGATGTCTTCAAAATCTCAGCTGAATTGAATTTTATTTGTTTTAGCTCATTTATTTGTAAAGGTTTCAAACACAGAAGTTTTAATGGTAAGAAGAAAAAAGAGAAATCATAAAAGCTAAAATGAGAGTCACAAACACATTTAGGCTTGCCTTTACTGAATTAATAAAACTGCCTATGAAGGAAGATTAGAAATAGAAGCAAAGCTGCTCTGATATTGAGGATCTTGACAGCTTCGTGCTTTATTGGTTTAGTATGTGTGTGTATCATTGTATATATTTCACATTCTGTAAAACATTGTACTTTTTATTATTTTCACATAAAATTAATTAATAGTGCATACTCCAATGTTTAAAAATACCTTTTAAAGCAACTATAAATGAAAATACGTGGCATGTTTTCATTCAAATTCAGAATAGGATAGATGAGAGTAGGGAAGACGCAGCGGTTCCAATATTTGCACATTCCTCCTAAGACTAATGAGTGGAATAGAATATCATATACCTTTTTGTTGCCTTTTATTTTCATCCCAAACTTTACAAGAAAGCCAGCATGCAGGTGATGTATTACCTTTAAAGTTAAGACAAAGTCAAAGATGTCCACAGACATCATTATTATTTGGTATTGTTCTTATCATACTAGCCAGTGCAGTTATAAGAGACAAATAATTAAAATATATAAAAATTGTAAAGGAAGTAAAAAATGATCATTTTTGACAAATAGTATAATTTTTGTATATATGGAAAACTGTATTTTCAAGGGAAAAATCTGAAAAAAATCAAGAGAATCCAGAAAAATGGCATATAAAAGATTCACATAAGCTATTAACTTTCTAAGTACAGATAGCCATTTCAAATTATAATGAAATAAAATATACCATTTGAAGAAACCATGTAAAATAAAATATGTAGTCATAAAGGTAACAAGAAATTTGTAGAAATTTAGAAAGAAAAATGTTAAATTTTACTCAGAGACAAAAAATACATTGACTTAAATAAGTGGAAAGATATATTTTGTTCTGAGATACAAAAACTATATTTTTAAATGTTTGTTGTTTATAAATGAATATGTAAGTTTACCAACACTGTGTGAAAAATAATTTGTGAAAAAGGCCGACAGAATTCTGAAATAGTGGCATAGTAAGGGAGACCTGGGTCTTCATAAACACATTATAAAATTAAGGAAGTTAAAAGAGCTTGACCTTAGCAGAGGATGAAACATACAAGTTAGGGCATTAGAATAAAGGCCAGGAAATATTCGAACATTTAAGGCATTTTACAATGGGAAAAGATGATTTTCAATGCACAAGGTTGAAAAAAGTAATAAATGAATAAATAAGGCTTGGATTCCATCTCATTTTAAAAAACAAAATAACAACAAAATATGTCAGGGTTTAATTTTCATCACCATTATCATCATCACCATCATCCCTGGGAGAAAAATTTGTGGGATGGTTGGTTGGTTGGCTGGTTGGTTTCAATGGTGGACAAAGCCTTTTTAATGAAGATAGAATTGGGAAGCTTATAAGAAAGCATTATTAAATTTGAGTATCCAAAACCAGAAAACCACAAAGCCAAGGTATGGACTTTAACCCTGCTTGTGGGAGGGGGGAACCTAAAACAACCAAAATACCTGATTATATCTATAGGCATATATTAATCAAGGGCTAATTTAATTAATATATAGCTATCTCTTTTTTATCCTTCCATTGAATTTTGGGGGTGACATTGGTTAATAAAATTGTATAGATGTCAGTTGTACAATTTTTTAAAGATTTTATTTATTTATTTTCATAGAGGGGGGAAGAGAGGGAGAGAAACATGGATCAGTTGCCTCTCACACACTCCCAACCAGGACCTGGCCCCCAGTGGAGGCATGTGCCATGACCAGGATCAAACCTATGACCTTTTGCTTTCTAGGATTATGCTTAACCCACTGAGCCAAAATGGTCAGGGTTCAAGTATACAATTTTGTAACACATCATCTGTATATTGTATTGTGTGTTCCCCACCCCAAGTCTGGCTTGGGGTGGTCAAGTATGGCTCTTTCCATCACTGCGAGATACAGGGAAAAATGCAAGTGATTAATAAGCACCTAAGGAAATGTCCAAATCAAAACAGATGTTAGTGCACAGTGCCAAAAAGGAGCAGGATAAGGAAGAGCCATACTTTGTTGATGAGGCTGCAAACTGGTAGATTCCTTTTGAAGGACAATTTAAATACCTGTCAATATTTAAATATGTATAGTCTTCACTAATTGCAGAGTTAGACTATCTAAATATAAAATTCCAAATGAGCACAAAGATTGCACACAAGGCTATCCATTGCATCCTTGTTGCAGTAGCTTATCAAGGACTGTTCATTCCTTGGTTGGAATACTGTGATGCTATTTAAAGCAATGAGGTTACTCCATGTGTGAAGCTATAGAAAAATCTCTACAAATAAAATTTTAAGTGAAAACCAAAGTACAGAACACTACATGTAATAAATCTTCATTATGTAAAGAAAGAGGATGCACATATATTTGTCCATGCATAGGAATTTTCTGGAGAAATATACAAGTAGTTGGCAGCTCAGAATCTGAGGTGATAGATTTATTTTATTCTTCTATTTTTTCAATCCTGTGACTGTGTTATTTTTATAATAAATAATAAAACCTGAAAAATGTCCAAAGCTTGTTATTGTACCTCTTTGTTTGCTATCATAAGTTTCCAATCTGTACGGTATTGGGTGGAAATCTGTAGGTCTCTAATTTTAGAGCTCTTTGCTTTCTTGTGAAATCAGAAACATTGTGAATAGTATTGAAATTGAACTGCTTGTTTTTTTGTTTTTTTTTCCTCCGAAGCTGCGTACTTGGACACACCTGCAACTTTGACCCTCAATAGTCTTGCTAGGTTTGAATGGTTCCTAGCCTCAAAAATATTAGAATATATTAAGTATTGAAATATATTACAAGTTAGAGAATTTTTCTTGGCATGTAAAAAATCAAATTAGTTCTCAAATAGGACAGAGGGAAGTCATTGAAAAGAAGTTAATTTTTATAGATGCTTCCATCTTAGAATAATGACATTGGAAGCATGTTTAGTGGCAATCAGCTACATTGCCTGGAAGCTGAGAATAATCAACTGCATTCAATTAAATCTTCATCAAAGGTAACTTCATATTGAAGAAATATAAAACAATATACTGAAGAAAAGAATGAAAGTTTTCCAACTTGCAAAATTCTTCCTTTTAAATAAGGAAGGCATTATTAAATAGACTCTCTTCCTCTGAAGTATGAAGCAAACAATCATTTGTACTCACTGAGCAAAACTATACTACTGATCATAAAATGTACTGATTAAAGATCATTGATTACTAGTGTTTGCTTGCCATCATTTAAACCACATTTGCATTTGTGCAAATATGTAATATAAGAAACAGAAAAGTGGAAAGCAGTTTATATTAGATGGTTTAGAAATTGTCAATATTCAAACCTTGTGATTTGGTAATATAGTAAGTAATAAATACCTATAATCCTTCAGAATTC